TGCTTTTGATTGTGATCTTTTCGTAGTTAACAAGATTACAATAAGTGATAAACCAATAAGACAAATTGTGACACAAGTTTTATATCCAGTTCTCATCATAATTGATCTAGAAATTGTATAAAAGAATATCAGTTTAGCATGTGATACATATTTTTCAAGAAAATAGGACTTTAAATGTATCAATATTATCTAAGGATACTGAACCATCATAGTATACCATGTTACTAAATAAATTATAATAAATTCATGAGACAGTAGTGGATGTAGTGAAGAGAATCAAGATTCCACGTTGAAGGAAAGAATAATTTTATAGAATATATGAAAATAGATTCGGTTTAATGAAATCTTAATGCACGCGTATAAAAGATCTTCGAAAAAACATGATCTCCGATTTTATTATCGTCTTAACTGTATTGCATAGCATACAATAAAATTTATCAGAGATTTATATCGTAGATCTTATGTTCCAATCTCTAAAAATAAACATATTTTTAGTTACTTTTACTTACATCAAGAATAATAATATATTAAAATGACGAGAAGTTTGATTTATACTTTCTCTCGATGATAATTATGACTAAAAAATATGATTTCTATGATATAAAGCATTGCTTCACTATTACACATACATTTCTCTTTCATTCTCTCTATCCGTTTAAATTGTTATTTTCAATTTTCTTCGGACATGAGCAAATAATGAAAAAGAAACTATGTTGACATTGTTGCGTTGAAGAAAAATTTGGTTTAAATAAAAAAAACAATTGTAGTATTGCATTTGAAGAATGAGCAAAACTACCTGAATGACTACTTCATTCAGATGATTCTTCTGAATGGAATTTAATACAATGATCAAAAATGTTGCGAAAAAACTCGTGTTTATAATATTAACATAGAAAATATTAATGTTTACATTGATATAACTTCTATTGTATTCTCAGATTTACTACGTTGCATTTTGATACAGTCGAATACAACTCAATATAATATTTTTCAAGTAATATTTCACTCTTTATTCTTAACAGTGTATTTATTATGCAGAAAAAAGTGTAAGATGATGTTGGTGAAGCTTTTTCTGTTTGCTCAGTTAATAGCAGTCTGTAACCTTCGAGAAATTTCAGTTAAAAAACAATAGAAATTCAAGTAGAAAAAGTAAACATAAAGCACACGTGTAGTTATGGTATTGTAAAAAATCAGAAAAAAATTATAATATTAAACTAAACATTTACATTGTATTTCTTTTTTATTTTGCAATCAGACAATAAAACGAAAGTGAAATAATCAAAAAGTATACACATGTTCGCTTTATTTTGTTGAAATAAACCACCATTGTATAAGATAACATCATTTTGATAACAGAACGACGGTGAATCAAAAGTTTGAGGATCTAAAATAATTACAAAGAGTTCATATGAATTTTTAAATTACAAAGATCATCTAAAATGCATGGTGACATTCTGTTTACATTATTTCAAGTTTTAGTTCTTAGTAATAATATTCACTGCATATCTTAGTATTGTAATTAATTAATAGTTTCTTGAAAGAATATAAATTGTTTCATCGAATTACTTTACAAATAAGAAATGATAAAAAAATTAGTAAAAATATTTTTTTGGTTCGTTGAAAATTTGTTTTAATGAGACACAGTACTATTGTATATCATTTTCAAGATTTATTTCAGCAAATAAATCAAACAGTCAGCAAAATTAAAGATTATTATAAGTGTTTTTTAAATTATAAAAGAAAATGTTGGAACAGTACATAATAATAAGTCGATGATTTTTATGATTGTTGTATGAAATTTTAATTGATCTTAGGGTGTGGGTGTGGATTTCAGTGAGAGTGACTGAGGTTGTGAGTGTGGGTATAATGTTATAGTAATCCTTCATCGACACCCACCTTCACCCTCAACTACACTCACATCCTGAGTCTTATGTGGGAGCTGATCTCTCTCTTGGTGTCATTGATGTATGTCGACAACGTCATTCAACGATTTCTCGACTTTCCTTCGTAGTAGCTGATGCAACAAAACATTTGCCATTTGAAAATGAGTCTCTTGATATAGTTGTTTGTGTTGAAGCAACACATGTTTATAGTGGACCAATAGCAGTTAAACGATTCGCCAATGAAGTTGCTCGTGTACTTCGTCCAAATGGATATTTTCTTTGGACTGACTTATTTCACATAGATGGATTAGACACATCAATTGATTATTTGACAGCAAATGGTGAACTGATTGTTGAAGAAAAGATCGATATTACAAGGAATGTTCTTCATGCACTTGATATTCAAAGTAATACTCGTGCCGAATTTATTGACCGTTATGTTCAGCCAAGAGACTGAGAAGCTTTTCGTTCGTTTGCTGCATTACCTGGTACTCAAACATACAATGAAATGTATGAAGGAGATATGCAGTATTGGCGAGCTGTACTCCGAAAGAAAACAGTAACAACTATACCTATGATTTAAAATCATATTTGCTTTCATATTACAAACATTTTCTTTTTTCTCAAACTAACCATACTTATTTAATTTATGAAATCAACAACAAGGCGTTCTGATTACTTTTTTACCCGCTATACTTTTTACTGGCTTATACAAAAAATCGAGCTGTTCCCTTTAAAAACTCAATGGTAAAACTTTTCCTGTTCCATTTCTTTTTTACTGATCTTGTTAATTGAGTTTTTTCTTCTTTTAATCTTGTTCATATTATATTTTTATTTATTTACTTGTTTTCCTACTCATGTAATTTTCTTTTTGTCTGTTTTTTTTCTTGTGGTTCTTTCTATAGTGCTTGAATTTCGTGGTGCTAAAATTCAGAAGTGGTTTAGAATGTATAGCTCTAATGAGTGTTTCTATATTAATAAACAATACGAAACGCATCGGAATATTTAACTGCATTTTTTCAATTATTTATTTTTAATTAATTTTTATATATATTTAATAGAGAGATATTATTTAACACAAAAAAAGCTAAATTGTCTAAACACCTTCTAAATGATATTCGAAGACATATATATTGTACTACGATCATTTACACCCGATTTTATTTTGCAAAACTACAAAGTGTTGCGTACCCCAATCACCTGGATTCCTTGCCATTCCTACACCTAATAATTCAACAACATGATAATATCGATAGATTAACGGTAAACGTATTGGTCCATACACACGATGTAAATTGAATGCTATGCTATCTTCAATATTGATTGGTAAGCCGAGAAAGAAAAATCCACCAGGTTTCAGAATACATGTTATTTTGGTCATTGTTTGGAGATCACCATATGCATTCAATGGATCACGATATCGACCAAGACCATCATGTTCAAGACTACTGTATGACCAAACACTATCAAATAATTCTTGTCTATTTGCTTGTTTTTTTGCAAAATCCATAGGTGTGATAGTTATAAGACGAGATATATCTGAATGAATTGTTCCATATTCAATAGTTGTTACATTTGATGCATTATATTCCAATAATGCAGCTTCGATCCATGGATCTTCACTTCCAATAACAGCACATTTCTTATTTGTGACAGCTAATGAAGCATATTTATCGAGAACAAGATAAGTATCATTATTAGTGTATGATCC